CTTTTTTTTTTTTTTTTTTTACTGTGTTACTTGTAGGCAAATGTTTCAGTGTCATTTAAATATGTAGATGTTTTGCTTATGTCCTGCCTTTGTACTACAAGTGTGTGTGTATATAGTATTAAGAATTACTTCCATTTCATCCACTCAGAAAAAGTGTAGCCCAAAAGAAAGATGTAAAGAGAAATGCTAACCCCCAGTTGAACATCCCTGCCAAAAGCCATGTAGCAATTTCACAAGTACAGTAAGAGCTGAGTTATTTGGCACCTTATAAGCCAGCAAACTCTGTTAACCGGCATGCCGGCTTGTAAGGGAACTGTGGCACTTCTGGTTTCACGGAGGGCTCATGGCCTAGGGGAAACCAGCCTGTGCTACCAAGCACACGTGGCCCGGGGCATAGCAGCCTGCACAGGTCCCCCCCCTCCCTGTCCCTTGGGGCCCACGGGAGGGGTGGCAACACCCAAGACGCAGCGGCCTGAACAGGCAGACACCAGTTTGAGCCGCTCAGTTAACTGGCATATTTTGTTATCCAGCACCCTCCATTCCCTGTGGCTGCCGGATAACAAAGCTTTTACTGTACTTGAATTGTTGCAGTTTCATTAGAAAAAAAGATCCAGGGACAGAGCAAGATGTATGTACTTTTACTTAAAGTAGCCAGTCTAATTCCACTCTTTACTTTAAATTAGATAAATCTTAGATCACCTCTATAATGAGTCACTGATTTAAAATTAACCTAAGTCCATAAGACCAAGCATACTGCTAATGACAAACATAATTAACGTAATTATGATGGTACATGTCAGTGACTGAATTGTCCTTGATATTTGTCCCATGGGCTATGACAGGTAGATAGAAGCCATTTTCACCTCTGCTACAAATGAAAGACCAGCTCTATTGGAAAACAAAAGGTCCTGGAAAAAATAAAATGTCATCCCCAAACTCTTCAGTATACTCTAGACCCAGGCCTGTAGTCATTGTGTATATAAGGACTTGCATTGAAATCAGTGGGACTATCCAAAAAAGGTTTGTCCAGTCAGGTTTCCTTGAGTATAAATTTTTCAGAGGGAGGATAAAAAAACTGTTGAAATAAGTGATAGAATGGAGACATGAATTAATGCCACATATGAAACTGTAGTAAGCTTCTATTAAAAGCCTTTTAAAATGTTGATCATCTTGTGTTGAATCTGATGTTTTAATAAGGTATTTTTGCATTGAAAGATGGAGACATGAGGGAGGGTATAGCAGCTCTGGGCTAATTTAAAGAGGCTGCATTCCCAAGTTCCCTGCTGCTGCCATCCCTGGCCTTTCTGCTCTCGCACCTCCCACCAGTGCCTGCTTGTCCTTTCTCCTGTAATCATTGCTCCCCACTACTGTTTGGCATACCTTTCAGCTGCACCCAGTAAACAGGCTATGTTGGATGGGGAGGGTGGGGTGGGGAGAATGAAGCATGAATGGTTGGGGCAGTAGCAGAAGACTGGCACTAAAAGATTGCCAACCCTTGACTTAGAGGGTAACAAGGGGCTTGGGTCTTAATCTAAAACCACATATTGACAGCAAGGAGTTTACTGGCGTTTCTACAATTTAGTCTAATGCCACACTAACTGGGATAGCTTACTGCTGCCCCTAGAGCACTTTCAATAGAAAATCACCATTGTCCTTAGACATTTGTTCCTTAAAATTGGTCAAAACTCTGAAGCAGGCATTAACTTTAAAGTATAACATCCTCCTTCGCTGCATTCCCTAGCTTCATGTAGCAAATCCTTCAATATGATGAAATAGGTGTAACTTGCTAAATGAGGTTATGCTACAGGTGTGGCTGGTTTAAATTGGGTCTGGCCAGTTGTAACTTGATGCTTTGGTGCCTTATTAATATGAAGACACTCTCTTCAGCTTATTTCTAGTATGCAAGGTTTTATGCACAGGATCTTCATCCACTGTGCCTATATACATCTTAAGATGAAGGTAGCTGTGGCCTTAGCTAATTCATACAAATATGGTATTTAGATGTGTTTATCAAATATTAGACAACAGAAATTTACCAGATACCAAGTGCCTGATTTCAAGAGTCCTAATAGCCAAGAACAGGAGAGATGCAGCTTTTTTTTTTTTTTTTTTTACTGAAAGAACTGTTACTAACAAGATAAGAGGACAACTTCAGCAAATCCAAGGATTCTTAAAAACTGAACAGGCACCATTCCTGCTTTAATGGACTTTGCTGCCTATACTGAATAAGCCTAATTCAGACAGCGAATCTTCTCCTTAGTTCATGCTTGTATTGGTTGCTTTGTAAATCTCATTTCCAAAGGCAAAAAGCTTAAATTTATAAATGGTTGATAGGCACTCTGAACACTTACCAATACTAAAATGAGTAGCCTGGTAACATGAGGAAGCTTAAGAGCAGAAGAATTAGCAGAGGAGAGGTATCTCTAGGCCTGCACCTATGTACACTGTGATGCTGTCTGCTCAGGGTACCAAAATTGCTGGTTAAGACCCTGAGTTTAAGAAAGGCTCAAGAAGCCCTGCAATGAGTGATTAAACAGTTTATCTAGAGGCTAAGATTTTTCCCCCTATCTCCTGCCCAGTACCTTCAGTAGCTAATTACTGCCTTTAAGCAGGATTTTTCTCTCTTCCCGATTTTGATAGTCTCTTTAATCTTTCCTAAATGCACGCTTTGTTATCCATTTGGGCATTCCATGTTATTTAGTGTAACTTTACAACTTCAGTATTCAAGGCACTGGTAACCATAATTACAGCATATAGTTGTAGCTGAACCTGACAATCTTGTTGTAATGTGTTCAAACTGGATGAAGCCAAGGCTGGATGAAGCCAAGGCTTGTTAAAATTTGGGCAAGGCAGCAAAAACTACTACTGCCATTAAAGTCCAAATGTGCCATAGTGCCCAGTTATACTAGTCATAAGCTGGCACCATACATTTTCCTGCCTTGCGTGACAGTCTTCTGTGTTGACACAAAGATTGTATTCAGGGTGTAAGAGAGCCTAGATTATGTAAGACCCAAGTTGTATGTCAGGTACAGGCAGAGTGCAGTCCTTTCAGCTTTCAGGGGAATACAGCTTGACAAGGTGCTGCAGCTCTGTTGCATAGCCAGTAATCGGGCATCTCTGGTGATTCTTTACGTAGTTATAAATACAGCGGTAACAGAACACAAAGCCCGATGTGGACAAGACAGTGTCATTGGTTCGGATCTTGTGGCAGAGTGGACACACTGTCTTCAGTTTTGGTAAGAGGGGTGAGCCTGTGCCGTGGTCAAGGTGTATGGGGGGTGGAGGAGTAGGGAGTGCAGTCAAAGATTTGATGGTCTCCTGGTTTTCAGATGAGTACCACCAGTCCAGAAACTGCAGGAAGAACACACCCACAGAGAGACCAGTGGACAGAGAGAAGGCAACACCTCCCAATGCTTTCTTCACTGCTGCATGCACTTGTTCCTTGATGCTGTATCAGGGAGATGAGGTATGGATAGTTAGTACAACACATTTGTCCACCTGGAAACCAACATTGCTAACAGACAGAATTGGATGCTATGTACTAGAGGTTCAGAGCATCCCCAAGTGCCAGTGGGCTTAAACTACACCAAAACAGATATTGATTAAACTTCATTTAAAAAAAACAACCCTACTTGTAAAAGCAGAGAGAGCAAACAAGTTGTCTAGGGAAGCTGTACAATCTCCTTCACTGGAAGCTTACAAGAAAAGGTTCAGTAGGGAACTGGGATGGTTCAGCAAGAGTGAATCCTGCAACTGGACAAGGGTTGGACTGGATGACCCCTGAGATGCCTTCCAACCCTCTGCAATTGAATTTAACTTTTTAAAAATTCCGTTACATGTGTATCACATGTTTACAAAGCTATTTAGAATCAGCCAGATTCTTAACGCAAATAAGTCTAGGAAGGTATAACTTGGCCTGCCTGAGGAATATAGCAATTCTTAACACTTTGAAAAATTTAGATCTAGGTTTACTGCATTTCTGAGGTAGAAGAACTTAGGACAAGAGACAACAGGACCTTTCACCCAGGGATCTGTGTTTCAGAAGGCTCAGGTTAGCAGTACCCAAAATTCATTGCTGTCTGAATAAGGCAAGTTGCTCATCTGAACAGATAATTGATGCCATCAATCTCCCTTGGTACCAGCCTCAGAAATGCCATCGAGTGCTGAATAGGTCAGAGACCAACTATCCTTGCATGTTTCCAGCCAGGCAGCTCTGCAATTAACTTCAACAAGAAGTCTAGGAAACTATTTCATTTATATTTAAAGTGCATTATGACCTTCCCTCTTAATCTCTAACACTGATGGTTTCATTTCACAGAACCATCTGTGAAAAGAGAGAACCTGAAACATTCCCACAAAGCACTGCAAAAGCTCTATGTTGAATGTGTTAGACCAGGAGTGTTTATAAACTCCAGCACACAGGCCAAATGTGGCCATGGAGCCATGGCATCTGGCCCATGGGGGCTCCCTATGGGTTGGCAAATTTGGTGGTGAGGGAGCAGTGGCAAATAATACTATTACCCCTCCCCTGCTGCCAAATTCCCAAGCCCTGTGGACCAAATTGGTGTTGGCCATGCTCCCCCCCCAGGGCCAGACTGGGGCTGACCCACACCTATGGGCCCAGATCAAGGCTGGGCTGTTCCCTAACCCCCTTCTCCCTGCCACACACAGCTGGACCAGGCCCTGTCTTGCCTGTCCCGCACACTGGATTGGGCCCATTTGCTGGAGCACTGTCTGTCTAGCCTGCAGGGCAAAAAGGCTGGGTACCACTGTGTAAGATTATTCCAGTTTATAACTTACCTGTGGCTTGCAGTAGCTGCAGCCAGTTTCTTCTCCAAGGCCTGGATATCATCCACTGTCAGTCTTACCAGGCGTACACCAGCCAGCCTTAGCAGTGGCGAATGGTGTTGAGCCTTACCAAGGATATAACAGAGCTGCTGGATGAGAAACCAGCCCTCCCAGGCCATGTTTACAAATGGGTAGGCTGCTAGAAAGGCCCTATAAAAGCGTTTCCAGGCAGAGGATGGAGGGTGGATGGAATATTCATCTTCTTCTCTTAAGCTGGAGACCAGTTTCTCCAACTTCCCTTTCAGGTAAGGAATGAGAACCAGGAGGAGGAGAGACTTCCAGTGTTCCTGCTTTGGAAGTCCAGCACTTGCCAGCCAGCATGGCCCCTTGCTGTGTCCCAACACTGTCCTCTTTAAGCTATAGAAGTTTTCAGAAAAAGAAGCACTGCACTTGGACAGATAATGCTGCTGGAGCAGTAGGTCCAGGAGTGCATAGAGCTCATCAAACCAAGTCCAGAGGCAGCCATAACGGCCAGGATTGGATTCAGCAAGAACCTAGTACAAGGCACACAAAGCAGAAAAGGTGTCAAAGAGCAGCTCATTAAATTAAAGCTGCCATAGGCCACACATCCATGTTATGAAACAGTTCAAAAACAAAAAACCAGAGGCATGATTACAGCAGGGCAGTGTGAGCATCATACCTGACCTTAGCATGTCAGCTGGTTATTAAATAAGCCAGATGTGAATCTTGGCTTCCAGGAATGAAAGGCTTCCAAGCTGATGGCTGCATACACTTGCAAGGCTTCCAGTAATAACAGT